CCTCTCTCCCTCCCTCCCTCCTTTCTTCCCTTCCTTCCTTCCCTCCCTCCTTCCTTCCTTCCTTCCTTAATTCATAATGAATATAGACTTTATGTATGAGTGAATGTGCTAAATCCCAAGTTTGTTGTAGCCTTGTCACACCATAGAGTAACATTTTAGAGACCCCTTAACATGTCAGCCATCACAAAAGCTTTGGGAACTATTAATTGGAATATACCATGCAACCAAGCCATAATTCTACTGTCTACTACATTCAGTTTCTATTTGACTAAATTTGAAGAACATAATTTCTATGAAATTATTCTTGATTTCTATTACAGTCATTATATACAAAATATTTATCATGCCTATTATCTCTTTTCAGGTCACCAGTCTCTTCAGAAGATCATGGTAAGAGTCTATTTTACTGATGCTAATTTGAGATTAAAAGTTGAGCCCTCATCCTTGTATATCATTGTCAGAGCAAAGGATTGTGTAATAAAATATCTTTAAGGTGTTAGCCCTGTATTTTTTAAGTGTGAAATGTCAAACACTTTAAGAAACTCAATTCACCCTCATTAAATTTGGTATTTCATGTTATTTTCAAATCTGTTACAATTTTTGATTGACAAATATTGTGAAGCTTAATGTATTCTGCCTGAATTATGTCCTGTCACAAGAAACCACTTGTGATTTTTATGTTACTTATCCAAGTTCTCTTAATCAGATTTTCATCTTAAGAATGGAGGTTCTTAGTAGACATTTCCAAAAGTCTACAACAGATTGGACACTGGAACCATGTCTCAGCGTATCCATTTGCAAAGAGTGTTCTAGTCTGAATAAAGCTAATTAGCAATCTGTATGAACTGTTATCTAGTTAGGGTGAGATGTTTTTATTTTAAAGATAGTTATTAGGTAGTTGGAAAAGTCATGACTTTTTTTTATGTTTTTATATGCAAAAACATGTCATGAGTTTTCCAATGACCCACTATTTACTCCAAGGATAAAATGTCTCACTTTGTCCCATAACCTTGGAGTTATTAATTTATTCAATTAGTCCTTCAAAAATGTTTGTTATGGGACCAACAGATGGCATAATGGTTACGTTACTGGACTCCCATGTAGTCAGCTGTGGTTTGAATCCCAGACTTGCTGGCTTAAAACTCATGCCAGGCATGTGCGTGCGTGCCCAAGATACTGAGAGGAAAATGTAGAAGGGATTGTGGCATGGCCATCCTCCCTAAGGGGGTGATTCCTTGCTTTCTGTCTCTGACTGTGTCTTTTCAGTGAGCCCTATACCAAAAATCTCTCTTAAAGAACAATGATAGCAAAAATGTTTTCTGTGCAGCTACAATGAGTGAGTTAATTATGCTATGTATGATGTCTTCAAATATCTATATGGGGGCTTTAATTTAAGACTTCTTCATGTCTTACTTGAACTTTTGAAATTGCCTCATAAGTGGTATCCACATCTCTGAATTTCATTCCACTAATTCACTGTTTACCTGGTTAGCACCAAACTGATTGTTCTATGGTAAAAACCCACTTCCATTGCTATATGGTGAGCTCTTTCCAGTAGATGAAGCACTCTGTTCAGCCTTCCAATTTTGTATTTTAGCAAGGATTAGTAAGGCCTAAATTGTCTTCCTCAATTTCTTACTATTTCATCTGCCATCTTTTCCTCTTCTCCTATCCATGAACTACCCTCAGCCATGTGGTACTACATCTGGTTTTTAGGGCTCTCCCTTTATCTGTATTGTTCTTCCTAGTGGGAAGCCACACTACCCTTTTGCCATTCAGTTCCTACTTAGCTCATCTTCTGTTATCTTTCTGGTCCACATATTATCATGGTAAAATTTTTCTCCATTTTAGGGGTTAATAAAAAAATCCAATATTTTGCTTACCTGTATGCCCTACTAAACTGTGAGCTCTTTTATGTAATTTTCAACAAATAGTGAACTCCTAAAAATGTTTGGCAAATGAATGAATTAAGGAAATGGAGAAGCGATAGGCAGACCTCTTTCACTGCCACATCATGAAATCTGTTCCAATATAAGAATGATGCTGTGCTGTTTTCTAGAATGATTCATAAAGCAAATTATGTTCGAGCCCATTAAGTCAAAATTAGGCAACTCAACACCTAATAATAACCCATTGTTGTATGCTGTTTTGCTGATTGTCATTGGTATGATTACATTTTTGATTGCATATTTTTAGGTCCTTGGTAAACTATCATAGAAGCTTGTGTTTAGTTTTTATTTTGAACAACAGTTTCACTTAATGACCTTCTGTTAGTTTTGCCTTGCTATCTATAAGAACATATTCCCCATTCCATAAAAGGGAACTTCTTAACTGTAATTTTATAGTCCACTACCACTTCTTAAGGGGTTATGAGAGGTCTGTGAGCATATGTCATGGTCTTTTGAAGTCCTGAGAGAAACTGCTACCAAAAAGACCTGCTCAGTGTTAAGAACACTTTGAAATTGATTGTTTTAAGAACTGTTGTATGTGATTAGCTAAAGAAACATTTTCCAAATTAGAAGGTTTTTATGTTTTTGTGTCTTCAAAATAATTTATTACATGTCTGTGCCTCTTAGTTTGCTTGTGCAGTTTACAAAAATGAATCTAATAGGTAATGCAAAATTTTAACTCTGATTTGTCTAATCTTATCCTTGGAAAAATATTCTAATGTTTTTCCTTATTATAAGGATTTTCTGTCACTCAAAATATGCCTCTTTATGTCTATTCACTTTTAAGGGTTTGTATTTACTGTGATAACATAAAACTTCTTGCATGTTATACCAGAAACTTACATAGCTTTTATATACAAAAATGACATTGCAATACATTTGAAAGATATGCATTTTCTCTTTCAAAAATTAATGAGCAGAAAAATTGGGGGAAAATATGAAATTGTAATATAAATCTCTATGCCTCTTGGTTTTCTAATTTGTTTGTTTTCAACCAATAATCCTGTTTACCTCGTTAGTAATTGGTTACTTTGACTATCTCAAAAATGAGATAATTATTGAGACCAGCAGTTAGTGTAATGGCTAGGTCTCTGGACTCCCATGTAGTCGACCATGGTTTGAGTCCTGGACCCAGTGGCTTAAACTCATACCGGGTTCATGTGCATGTGTGCCTAGGATCCCAAAAGGAGAATGGAGAAGAAGGGATTGCAGCATGGCCATCCCCTCTGGGGGGTGATTTCTCCCAAGCAAATGCACCCTATAGCAAAAAACAAACAAACAAAAAACCTCTCCAAAAAATGAGATAATTCTTGGGAAAATCTAATTTTGTGAAGTCCATGTCACTTAGTATGCCCACAAGTACCCTTTTGTAAAGAGTTTTAATACAGTGGCTTTGTCACTTGTTTATTCTCAGTTTTGTTTTCTTTATCTGTAAAATGGGATTCCATATATCTACTTTGCATAACTCATGGGATTGTTTTGAATTCAAATGGGAAAGCATTTTGTGAAATGGCTTTCTAATTTGTTAAAAGCATCCCAAATAATGTTATTCTCTAGCATCCAGGCAGTGGAAGTGGCAGCATGGGTTTTCCAGAGATGTTAACTCTGCTTTGCACACTGCCTTTGAAAAGTTAAAGGACATGGGGAAGAGAGGGAGGTAACTGTTTCCTTTAACACTATTATTAAATATTAAATTTTCATTGGAAAGCTTCTTTATATCAAGATGAAGAGATGTTTAATATACAATCTAGCTCATATGCCAGAGTAAAGGCTTAGTTCGCCATTAGATGTGTATATCTGGAATTGAAGATGCAAGGCATAAATCAGTTGTAAAGGATTTCTATTTATATAATAGAGTATCAGGGTCATTAAGAATAAAGGCTAGCATGTGTTGAGTGCTTATGCAGAGGCACTGTGCTAAAGTGCTCCAACTCTATTATTTCATGTCCTCTTTAACAACTAACACTATTGTGTATGTATCATCCTCAATTTCATAGCTGGGGAAACAGGCTCAGAGTGTTTAAACAACTTGCTTAAGGTCGCAGAGCTAGAAAGTGGTCGAATTCACCTTTAAACTCAGTTTTAACAACCAAACTCTTGCCGTTTTATACACCCTGCATGCCATTGGCAGACCAAAGAAGCGATTGTTCACATTAAGACAAATTGATAGAATTACAGAGGGAAAAAAAATGCTTTTTCCTTCTAATGAGAGTTTATTTACTATGGTGTAAGTAATTTCTTTTTAATGACAAGACAAAACAGAACAAAAATAACAACTTCTCCTTCCTG